AGGAGTGTTTTTGATGAGAGAACATTCTAGCCTGGCTTAACACTCACAAAAGTTAGTTTTCTGTAATATCGGACCTTTTAAGTGGTGGAACTTGATCTTCTGTTTCTGATACAACCATAATTGCTGTTTGAATATCTGCAAAATTAGAAACTTTTGTTAATGGTCCATCCTAATGAGCAAAATGCTGAAATGACATTTGTGACTGAATTGACATTTGTTGACAAACATGTGGCTATTTATTTAATCTCCATCTACATCTGAGCTCAATCATCAGACAGAGCTGAGCTGCTGCTGCCAGAGCTTCAGACTGTTGGTTGTTGGTTTTGACACATGAGCTGAACATCTCTGTGTGACAAGAGGCTGATTGTTCAGCACCAACACAAGACATGAATCTGATGTGACTTCACACTGTTGACCATTGACCGGCACCAATTAAACTGTTCCCCATGAGCGCCCCCGGACCAGACCGGACTGTACCAGACCAGAGCAAAGGAGCACCATCAAAGATGGCTTCCAGGAAGAACTGTGCTCCTGTTTTCTCTTTCATTACCACATATTCTGAGAAGACACTCAACAATTTATCCACAGTAATTAAATATAACTCCTCCACTAAACGAGCCACTGAATAAAGTGAGACGTGCTGTCTCCTCATGTCCAGCCTGTGTGCTCATAAAATAAGATCATCCTTTATAGTCTTAACAGGGCGTCACATACTTTAACACAAAGACAAGACAACACAGCAACATCAGCACCACACAAACATCCACCGAGTATGAGCACGAGTGATGCACCAACAAAACCTTTAAGTCACTCTACAGGCGCGCCCTTCACAGTCTTATATTCTATTAATAACGACACACTCTCTAAGTGTGTATGCAAGACGTGCCTGCATTGTTACTTGTCATAATTTACTTTTATTTTTAACTGTGCTCTCAGAGTTTAGCAGATAATGACACAAAAGAACATGGGCTGGGTCTGGACTCCTTCCTGCTGAGCTTCATAACAGTCTCTTAAAATCTTGGCTGAAGTGAACTAGGGGCCACACCCATGATTTGACCTGCTTTTTTAGTCCAGGTCAAAATGTGTGATTTAAGTTTGACCGGCAGGTTACCAAACTATGCTGACCATAATGTAAAATAGACTCCAGACATGCTCTGTAAAATATCAGCATTACATTTTTATCCACTCCATGTAACCTAAGCCGTTTTAGAAAAAAGTGACACTGCCTGATTCTTGAGCAGACAGATTGTACATGCTGGCACCACTGGAGCTGAGAGTCAAAGTACACCTGAGTACTTTTAGCATGTCACCTGCTCTATGTCCCCCCCCTGATATGAACGAGGCTGTGGCTCAAAAATAATCTCATTTGTCTTTTCCACATTTAAGACACGGCTGTATTCCTCACACCAGTGCAGCACTTCATCAGTTTTTGTCTTATAGACGCTGACATCTGTGCTTTTGTTGAGTAAATAAGAATAGCCGTATCATCCAAAATTTAAGTATATAGTTGTTTACCTGCCTGCTCCTGCACACAGTCATCCAAAGTCAAAAGAAGAGGCGAAGTAACACAGCCCTGTGACTCCCCAGAGCACCCTGAATGTCTGACAGCGCTGAACTAAAACATCTGTAACAGCACGTCCAGTCTGCGTGGTCATCGTGTGTAACGGTCTGCGTGGTCATCGTGTGTAACGGTCTGCGTGGTCATCGTGTGTAACGGTCTGCGTGGTCATCGTGTGTAACGGTCTGCGTGGTCATCATGTGTAACAGTCTGCGTGGTCATCGTGTGTAACGGTCTGCGTGGTCATCGTGTGTAACGGTCTGCGTGGTCATCGTGTGTAACGGTCTGCGTGGTCATCGTGTGTAACGGTCTGCGTGGTCATCGTGTGTAACGGTCTGCGTGTCATCGTGTGTAACGGTCTGCGTGGTCATCGTGTGTAACGGTCTGCGTGGTCATCGTGTGTAACGGTCTGCGTGGTCATCATGTGTAACGGTCTGCGTGGTCATCGTGTTAACAGTCTGCGTGGTCATCGTGTGTAACGGTCTGCGTGGTCATCGTGTGTAACAGTCTGCGTGGTCATCATGTGTAACAGCACGTCCAGTCTGTGTTGTCTGATAACATCTCCAGTCTGTCCAGCGTGACCTCTCACATTCTTCATGATGTCACACCTACAGAATCACTTATGGAGCGGCAGCCTGGGGCCAGACGCACAAAGAGGGCCTGTCCAGAGCAGAGACAGTGACCGGGGAGGGGCCAGACTCAAGAGTGACAAGCGAAAATTATAGTTTTGAACTCAAAGTCATTACTGTTTTTAGTTGTACTGTGTCGTCATTTAAAGGGACCACACTATGAAAGATTTTATAACACATCGAATACAGCTTTTACTGCACAAATGTTCTGCTGATTTACTCTTAATTACAAAAAATATTGCTCCTCAAGATGATTATTTAATCAAAAGCAAAATGAGCCCTACATGATTCTCTCATTTGGGTTGCCAGTTTCAAATCCTGTTTTTTTTTTTTTCAAACGTAAAATGTCTCTCTCTGGTCTGAATGGTCACTCCCTAAACCCCATCTCTTGCAGATAAATCATGAATCAGAGCTTGTGCAGCTTCTTAAAGTAGAACTAAACACTAAACCAACAGTCAGCAACCTTGGCGTCACCTTAGACAGTGATTTTAATTTTGACAAACAGATCAGTGGTGTTTTAAGAGAAGTTTATATCATGTGTGGCTTTTATCAAAAGTCAAAACTTTTTTATCTTTTAAACTTTTTGAACAAGTCGTGCATCATCACACCTGGAGGACTGTAACACTTTTTTCCTGCATCTAACAAAATGCACTTTACCGACCACAGTTAATCCAAAACTCTGTGGCTCGACTTTTGACAGGAACAAAAAGAAGAGAACACATTACCCAAATTCTCTTTGCACTGTCTTCCTGTTCATTTTAGAATTGATTTTAAGATTTTATTCTTTGTTTTTAAAGCTTTGAATGTTCTGGCCTCACGTTATGTCTCGAACCTCATCCAGATTTACATCCTTAAAATCACGGGGGACAGGATCTTCTCTGTGACCTGCCCCAAACTCTGGAACACTCTGCCCCCCATGTCCCAACAGCCCCACAGTGGAGAGTTTTAAGATTCACTTTTATTCTCTGGCTTTTAACACTGCGAGTTGTGTGCTCCTCTGTGTCTTTTATTTTATTTTAATTCATTGTATATTCTTTTATATTCTTCTTTTTGCTCTTATTTTATTTTTGGTTTTCTTGGTTTAAGACTAGTATGATTAAATCTGAGTGTTTATTTTATCATTTCATTACTGTTGGAAACTGTGCTATAAAAAATTTTTTTTTGCAAAGCTGATAGTGTTTTAATTGCATTATCTACTGTTCCTGTTTTTGGTAATTTTAGTGAAAACTAGGTCATTTGTCACTTTCTGGACAAAAGCGTGTCTAAAAATGTGTGTGACTTGGCTCCAGCGGCCACTGCCAGTTTCAGGTAGTTGGTGACATCACACAGGATTGCCCTGATTTCTACAGTGTTATAGAATATTTTAACCAGTTGAAGGTCTTTGATGGTGATACTGACATGTGTGTATTGTGTGTTGTGTTGGTCATATTCTTGATGTGTGTGTTTTAGTGTTTAGAGTTGATACAAAAATCTGATCTGAAACTCCCATCACAATGCAACCCATCTAGGCCTACAATATCACATTTTAAAAATAACAAAATTGGAGCACTACACTGGATCAGAAAACTTACACATACAGGTTATCATCAAACCTGGGGGCTTAGATTCTCGTAAAGCAGAAAAAAGGATGGCAGAGGCACTCTGATTCGCGGTGAATTCATTAATAGTCACGCCAACGCCTTTCGACTCCTTAGTCTTGATCAGGGCTGATTGTGTAAGCAGCAGATGTGACCATTTATAGGGGTTGCGACTAGGGGTGTGCAAAAATATAGAAATATTGATATATCGTATTGTTTAATATGATCATACAGTATCAATATCTTGGACTGCTGTATCGATATATCGCAAAGAGTATTTTTTCTATATTTAACAAAATAATTTTGTTACAGTGCACAGTTTTGTTGCTTGTTTAGAGAAAGGAAACTCGTATATGCAACACATTTGACATTTTCTCTGTTTCGATGATTAAAATGTTTGTGTTTCATATGAACTTTGCACAAGAAATGGTTTAACAAAGACTTTTACTGTCACAGCCATGATTTAGCCTTGATTTTTTATTAAACCATATTGATTGGATTTAAAAGATATTGTATCGAATCAAAAGGTGACTGTATATGATATACAGTGATATATACAGATATGTATCGTATCATGGCCTGTGTATCGAGATATGTATCATATCGGCAACTTCTTAATGATACCCAGCCCTAGTTGCGACCCAAGACACGTGATAGTTAAAAACACAAGCAAGATCTCCCAAAACATTTGCATATTGAATCCAAGTATACTGACAACAAACCATTCATAACACAACAGATAAATAACACTGTTCTGTATAAATTGGGGTTTAGTCAACAATACATAATCCCTTAGATTACACAGCACACTTCAAAAATGATTTTCAGTTGATCATCAAGAAGAAGAAAGCACAAGTAATTTTGTAACAAAGGTAATGAGAAATACCCGGGTATTTGGTGGCCAATTGTCAAGGGGGGGCAACGATGTAATAAAGATGTTGGCATGTTAAGGCAGCAAATAACAGCATATATGTAGGGGCTTAATGGGTCCCAATCATTATGGACACAGTTCCAATAGTTCAATATCATGTTTTTAGTTGAGTGATAGCAGTATATAGTCTATGTGCTCTTATACTTGTTCTGATACAGCTCGAGATCTTCTAAAACTCTTCAGGAAAGGTTCTGCTCTGTCCTGTGCATGTGACTTTTGCAGTATGACTACTTGAATCAGTGTCTAGTTTTGATACTAGTGTGTGTACATCTAACCCGGGTGTGTGTTGTGTGTTGTGTTGACAGTCGTGGCTGGGGCTGGTGTCTGGACGATCCTCCTGGTCAGAACCTTCTGGAGGTGGGCTCCCTGCTGCCCGGAGTGCTCTACAGCGCCCCCCACCAGTGCCGCCTGCAGTACGGCTCCGGCTCGGCTCTGTGTCCGGACATGGACGTAAGGAACATTTGGATTTTCTTTAATCGTCTGTAGCAACTTTTTGCACTTCTATGTTTTGCTGTTTTTATAGTCTATAATTTAGAGTTTCTGTATGTTGTTGGTGTTTTGATTGTTTGTTTTTTAATCTATCATAAAGGTGCTAAATGTTCCCTAAGAATTCAAATAGTAGATTATGATGAAACCCATCTAGGTCTACAAGACCAAGTTTTAGTAAGGCTGCATCAAACCATTATTTTAGTAGTCAACTAGTCAGAGGTTTGTTTTCATTTTATATATTTTTTTATTTATTTATGTTCTATATTTGTCCACTAGAATGGCCCAACTGATTTAAGCAATCTTTTACAGTAAATGTAAGTAATTCTACCACTCTAAACGTAATAGCGTCATACTGCACTGTAACAGGGCAACAGCAGCTTGTCCATTGCCCCACAGGTTGGCAGTGCAATTCCAGCTCCCGCAGATGAATGCTGTCATTGTGTTCTCAGGCAAGACACTTAATCCAGACCGTACACTGGTCTGTGTACACTGGTGTGTAAATGTATGAGTGAATGGTTCCTTCATGTAAAGGCCTTGAACATGAAAAGCATCATATAAAACTGTGACCATTTATCGTTTAATACAAACCCAAAATGAATGTTCTGAGCCTTATTAATGCAGTGCTTCTCAATTATTTTCTGTGACGCCCCCCTAGTGAGAAGAAAACATTTCGCGTCCCTCCACTCCACGGAACCACTACCAAATGTGGACAAATCCCCCCTCGCCTTCAGTCGCGTACAGACGAGAGCAAACGTTTTAGTCACGTCTCAAAAGCGACTCCCGGGACACACGCAGCATGTGTCTGTCCATATTCCGTGCTGTGCTCACCTGCGTCATATGGAGGTCCGCTCCCACGTCCTCCTCCTCTTTAAAGATGATGTCCGTGTTATAATTCGTGGCACTTGTGTCATCCAGTATGATAGAAACCATGTCTAATGTCTAATGCTGCAGCAGTGTCAGCTCCTCTGCTGTTTGGTACACACCTTATATGATCCTAACAGAGCTTGCTGGTTTACTGAAGTCGCATTCACAAAGCAGGATGATTGTTGATGATATTCAGCACATTTTCACTGAAAAAGCTCATAGACCCTCAGTAAAACTACCAAAGCTCTCCATAAACAAATACAACAGAGAAGTGTGCATGTGGCAGGAGTTTTGGGACCAGTATGAAAATGCTATTCACCAAAGTCCAGATCTGAGCAAAACTGAAAAGTTCACTTACCTGAACTCATATCTCACTGGAGCTGCTGCCATTGCAGGGCTGAAGGTAACTGATCCAAACTATGAGACTGCAGTTACCATTCTTAAACAAAATTTGGTAGAAAATCTAATTGTGAGTGCACATATGTCTAAGTTACTAGATTTAAGCCCAGTCAAAAGATCCTCAGATGTTGTTGCTTTGAGACAACTTTTTAATGATGTTGAAGTGCAAATAAGAGGCTTAGAATCACTTGGTGTGCTGTCAGACAGCTATGGAGGTCTGCTGTGCCTCATACTGCTGCAAATGGTTCCTCATGATCTTGCTCTTGAGTTTGCTCGCAAAATAAAAGTTGGACAGGAGTGCGATGTCAGTGAGCTAGTTACCCTCCTACAGCAAGAAGTTGAGAGCAGAGAACGTGCAGCACATTTGACAAAATACAGAGAGGTCACACGTGCTCCTTACTATTTGAGAAAGACTGGATAATAGGCACGGCAGTTCAGTTAAACCTGGATAAAATGCAGCTATCAGAATGATGGTCCCCCATCTGTGGCCCTCTGCTCCAAATGATGTGGCCCTCTGTGAAAAAAGTTCAGACTCTGACTATAATAGATATTATATTTGTTACAGTAACTTAAAGGTATTTTTATGTCTTTTGAAACTTTAGTTAGTACTTAATCATTTGGATTTGCTCATTTCAAAGAGCTGTTCAAAAAACTGGCTCGTTTCATATTTATTTATATGACAGAAGCCAGTGTGAGATTTTAACATTTAACAACAAACTAATCAGAGAGAGGCTCAGATGTGCTTCAAATGATTCAGACTGAGAGTGGAGTGTGTTTACTCTTTGAAATGATGCATGATCTCAATGAAATGTTGCACCACAAAATTAAGAATTAAGAAACCGTTGATGCCAAATCTGTTTTTTGTGCACTAATCTCTCACTGGTGTGGCCTGCTCTGCGTCTGTGCTGATTCTCGTGTTGCTTCATGTTCATAAGTATAAAAATGAATACAAATGAAAAAGAAAAAGATTCAGTTCTGATTCCAACTGTTCAGGAACTGTTTAAAAGAGCGGACTCGTTCACATCAGATCACTAGTTTGTCGAGATAATGACTGCGATTATCGATTATTTTAATGTTTGACCAGTCACGATTATTCTTACTAACAGTTGCAGCTTTACTTTTTAGATTACGATGTTGCTCACAGAAACAAAGTCCTATAAGTAAACCACAAAAGTGCAGACATGTGACGTAAACTTTGAATGAAACAAACATGTCCTCAGACCTGCAGGTAGGAAACCATAATCATTATAAAGTCCTAATTTAAACATTTATTAGCTCATTAGTCGTGTTTATGATCCCACTGTGAGGGAGGAGAGTGTTTAGAGTGTTTAATTGAGTCTCTTTCCCACATAGCACAGAGTAGTAGTAGTTTTATTTGGTCATTTTGCAGCACTACAGAACAAAACAAAACAAAACATAGACTCCAAAGCCATGGATCATGACCGAAAGGGTTTAGGCTGAAGTAAAGACTACTTCTAATGCCAAACCCTGTTAAACAATGACAGAATTCCAAGAAAGAAAAGCAGCGAATGAACAGCAAGTTTGCATTTATAGTTTCACTTGTGACTTAGACGACATTTAAACTGAAATAAATCCGTGTATCACCGTATCAGAAACGATCTGCGTCCAGACACGTCGTTTCTATGTCCGCAAGCCTTCCCCATCCACACAGCTTTGAGCGTTTACATTTTACAGAAACAGAACTTAAACCACATGGCTCATTTGCATAAACTTAGAGCTCAAAAAACAGCTCGCTTCTTGTGCGCTGATGCGGTTCAACTTCTGTCAGACTAAAGGACATGACTCAGTGGATTGTTCTGTGCTTCTATCTTGTTGGAGATGGCTTATGTTAAACTTTTCAGAGATTATACGTCTGCAGGTCGTACACACAGACCGCATGTGTATGAGTGGACATATACTCTAGCAGGGTATCCCCAGGTTTGATTACCCCAAATTTAAGACCTTTTTAAGACCACTTAAATGAAAATTAAGACCAACATCACACCCATTATGTGGACGAAAAACACCTGATCCAATTGTAATAATGACCATTACTCACTGCTTTCAATAACAAAAAATACTTTCATTATAAACTCTCATTCAGAACTCATTTATAGTCGTATGCATTGCTTGGAAAATGGCCAAAAAATCGTTAATAACCTTCTAACAAGACAAACTAAGTATTGTTTGCACATACTCCAAATTAGATGTTTATTTACATTACATGATTTCACGTTGTTGTTGTTTTTTCCTCCCTCCATTTAACATTGCACTGCAGCCTGGTTGAGTTTACAAAAACTAGGCTAATGAAATGTAAGCTCTTTGTGAAAAAAATAAAACTTAGACAACATAATTTAATTTAACTTAATTTAGGAAAATTTAATTTAAGACCTTTTTAAGACTTTTAAGACCCTGTGGCTGCCCTGTCTAGCCTCTTAGCGTTTTGGCGGTGGTTTACTTCGCGGTGCACAGACCTACATCAGAGTATCAGTGTTTTCAGGTGTCCACACAGTGCCGGATCAGATTTGTACTCAGATGAATTTGTGGGAGCTGGTGGCACCAGATCGTTCCATCTCTGGAGCCGTTTTCAATCAGATTAGTGTGAACGAACACTGCGCTCCATGGCGCTCCACATACAAAATGTTGCCTGCAAACTCAGAATGATTTAGTCAGTCAAATATTTCCTTTTTGGTTCTTCCTGTGGATCAATCCTGCCCATCGCCTTCACCTTTCACTATTTTTCAATTCCATTGGGAAGTGAAACAGTTTGAACAGAGGTTTGCAATCACACACATCTGATTCCCTTTTGCATTTATGGAGTTCGCAAACAAATTTCTCGAGCTATTTTCCGCTGTTAAGATCCAACAACCACACAATTACGATGTCCAAATCCCAAAACTAAAATATGACAATATCAGAACCAGAAACAAAAGTGATATGGTTCAAAAGACTTGAAAAGGTCGACTTTGTCAATAGACACATCCCACTGGGAAAACAAATATGGAGGTTTGATGCTCACTTTTTTGGAAAATCCTTCCCAGTGTGAATTGAAGTCTGGAAGTCTGAAATTCTTGATGCATCTATTACTGACGACTTTGTCACTGACGTCAGCTCCCAATTACTAAGGTTATTTTTAGACAATATAATGGCAAATAGAGGTCATGGCAGGTTGGAGATACTCTTCCTGTCATGACATGAACCTACTGAGAACTGTACCTCCTCATCTACAGAAATGAGCCACTCTTCAGCCCTTATATAAACATAATTACACTGGCTTACTAATTGTGGATGGTGAAAGCAGGGCTGCCTTTGAAAGCACTCAGAACTGAACCGGGGAGCTGTAATAGTGCCCCCTGCTTAAGTGTGGACCATGAAGATTGGCTGACTATTTGTTTTGCAGCTTAATCATTTTCGAAGCAATAAGCTGAACTTTGGACCACGGTCTCCAGCCTCACCTTTCTTTTATGGATTTCCAGGTGTTTTTAATGGCATCTATGGATTGGCTGTGGGCTGTGTGTGTGTTGTCTGTGTGGTGTGTGTGTGTGTGTGTGTGTGTGTGGTGTCTGACACATGAGGTTGGGTTGTGGATAGCCTCAGTGTGTGTGTGACTCGGAGCAGACATCTTGGAGAGGACAGGCTTCCTTGCATGTGTGCTGACTGATGAACGAGCTGTGAGTGTGTTCATTCTGGTGCCTGTG